TAAGTGGTCCCCGCGCCCGGGTCCTGGGGGTAGTGGGGGTGCAGGACCGCTGACAGCCCCCTGCCCTGTTTCTGGCCGGGGTTGGGGTCCAGAGCCCGGAGCAGGACCCCAGGAGGCCGGTTAAAGTTTGATTTTCGATTTGGTGGCTTGCTGATAGCGCAACCTGGCGGGGGCGAGTCCGGCTCTACCGCGCCCGGCGCGCGCGCACACACCCCAGAACCCGAATCTGCACAACTACGGGGCAGGCGCCTCTGCGGGAGGCCAGGAGACCCGCGTCCCCGTCCGGGCGGTTGCGTCCACCCCGCTGAGCTGGTCGCCACCTGGCGACCCTTCCTTTCCAGTCACCTGGGTGAGCGCTTTGCAGCCTGAGCTGGAGTAGTAGGCAGGCCGAGTTGGCTGAGTTGTGGGAAATGGAGACAAACAGCTCGGTGCCTGAGGGTGGTTAATTTCCCCTTTGGGGGTCTTGGGGACATGAAATTTTGGGATGCTGTAACCTGATTTCCAGGGAGCGAGTAAACCGCGAAAGGGCTGGGGAGGCGCGAGGGTGCTGCAAAAAGAACTTTTCCTCCTTCGCCCCATCTGTTACCAGCTTCTCTCCTGACCTTAAAGGAAATTTCCGAGGCTCTTAAAAAATCGCTCCACGGCATTTCTAGGTGGACCAGTAATCGTGTTGGGCAGGTTGAAATTTCATCGCGGTTTGGAAAACAGAGAGACATGGGAAATGGCTCACTTTCAATGAAGATGTTTAGCTGAATTGTTGGCATTCGTTTTCTAAGGGAAGCATTTGGGGATTGATGGCTCCTAGACTACGTTTACCTTACAGATTTTATTTTCGCTGACGGGTAGTTTAGAGGCAGCATTCACTGAAATGCATACTACCTGTGAAACGATCATGTTTCTAAACTGGAGCCAGCGATGCGATGCAAATTTCAGAGTAAAGGTGTCGACTTTCATCAGGTTCCAGGTCTATCTGGATGGACTGGGATTGGCGTTTCCTCTATAAAGCAAACCTTTCATGTTGAAACTCTGAGTCAGACTCTTAAAGCCATTGTTTTTATGCTGGTACTCTGTGGGAGTTAAGTGTCAACTTTCTCCTGTTTTCTCCTATGGAGTATCCGTCCAAGGCAAAGATTCTCTGACCGAATCTTTTGGAAATGTACAAGGTTAGATCATACTGAGTTCTGCGGCCAGTTTAGTAATAGTATTAATTTTCTGTATAATCCTGATTTAACGACTTTCATTTTTCTCTTCGTTTTTTGAAAGCTGCAATTAAGCTACCTTTACCAGGATTAAAAAAAGGATAATATGGAACAGTGGTAATAGCAGTAGGTCTCAGCTAGTTTATTACGGCCACTGATGTGTCCAACTATTAGATGACATCCCAGTTATTAACTACAATATTAATATTAAAACATTTTCCCATGGAATCAATTATGCTAAAGCATTAACAATTAACAGTGCATTTAAAATGATGAGTGATTGTTTCCACATAAATGGTTAGAGGCAAAATAAGAGATTTGGGGGTGAATGACTTTATGTCTCTGACAACTAATTTTCTTATCTCATTAATGCTTAAGTAAAGGACTCTTGAAGTTGACTGTCATTTGATTTTTCTAGTTGACTGAGAGAACAAGTTTGGTGAGTGGCTTGAGACAGTCAGTAGGTGTTGCTGTTGTTAGCTTCTCTGCAGTTCCTGCTTCTGCTCCTCGAGTTTGAAATTGCAATTCTGGTACAGTGAACTTTTAAAATCTGAAGTATCAGTCAGTGATAGTTGTGATTTCATTGGAGGATTCAATGGCAAGGTTGACTTGAACTCCAGGTAATAATTGCAAAGCAGCTCTCTGATACTTTGTATTGAGATTCATTTAACTCTTCATTTGTCTCTGCCCTTTCACTAGTATTTTCAGGCTTCTGCATTTGCTTTGCTTTTGCTTTGAAGTATGTGTGTAATTTTGGTATAGTGCCCCCACCTTGATTGTTTAGGAACTTTTAAAAACACCTTCTAGTAAGTTTATTGAAGTCATAGATTGAGGATTGCTTGGGATTAGCAGTTTTGTAGACTTTGGGGGAATCTTGGTTGAGTTGTGATGTGTATATGTTCTATGTTAAGTTGCAGTCTGAATTTTTAGATAAATGACTGTTTTTCTTTTTTTCAAAAATCTCTTTGAGCTGTGAAATGGGAGCATGAGGAGAGCTGAAATGGTATGAGAGTGGAATTTGGTGGAAAGTTTGTTATAATTAATAATATGACTATGTGCCTCTTATCAGTCCTTACCATTGTATTATCATTGTTATTGGTCCATATCAGTGCACAAATAAAGTATGAATATCCTGAAGATTTTTTTGTGACATCTCAGATTTAAGCCTTTTGGTTCACTGACCATTTTAGATTTTCTCTATGGAAGACAAATAGACTCATTCCCATAATAAAGAGCTAGAGCTCTGATAGAGCACACTTTTTTTTCCCCTTTGGATCAAATCATGGAAGTTCAAATCTGAAAATAAATTCAGAAATTCCTTTTTTCCGCATTGCATCCCTATATTCCTAACCTTTTGAGTGGTGAGTCAAGCAATATTTATTGATTGCTGCTATCTGGCAGGTGCATTTTTGGTTTCTGTGATTCCAGTGATGAGCAAAAGAGTGTACCTGGCCGCATGGAACTTGTAGCCCAGTGGGACCATTTGTAGTAATATTTCCTGGCATGGAGTTATGGTATCCTGATGCCCCCATAAAGGTTATACATAATAGGCAATTATTTTTGAATTGTAATATATTTAAACATTTTGAAATAATGTAGCCTACTATTTGTCCTCAGAAGGTGTGGGTTTCAGATACCTGCCCTGCCATTTTCGTTGTGAGATACTGAAAAATAATTGAACTTCTTTCTGAACTTTACTGTTGTTTCCTGCAGAGATGGGCTCAAAACTTGCTTCACAGATACAAAAATTAATGAGAATATATGTATGAAAGTACTTTGTAAACTATAAAGTCTTATTTGTAATAGGGTTTTCTTACTTTTTGTTGGACAGATTCATGGATTGTTGGAACTAGGAGGGATTTTGACTCATTTGGCTCATGTTTCCCATTTTACATATGAGGAAACTGAAGCCCAGAAAGTGGAAGTGATTTGTTGACGATTGTAGAACTGGTTAATAACTGGGCAGTGATTGGAAGACAGGTGTCCATATTTAATTATATTTGTTTATTTTCTGTTTTTTTTTTCCCTACCTTAGAGCCTGTTATGTTAAAATTTTACTGCTTTCTCCCCCCACTTAAGAGTTCAGTATTTATTAAATATCCAAAATGAGGAGATGCAGAACTTAAGGAAACGAACAATCTATGGTAAGGTTGTAAAGCTATGAAAACAACATTGATGTAGTGTTTGGTAACCAAGCTTTATAGTTACTCAAATGACAAAATTATGGAAAAAGAAAATATGAGTTAAAGTTTCTGCATAGTAGAGCCTGTAGGCTTTCTTATTTTGTTTCATTTTTAAAGAAATCTTTATTAGTTCAGAGCATAATGTACTCTTTAGCTCTTTAGAAAAGCTAAACTCAGTTTATTTTGGTTTGTCTTTTTCTTCTTTTTTAAAACTCATTTCCATTTGCAGAAGAAATTAGGTGTACCATTTTTGTTTCTGGACCATGGCCAACTGAATTTTAGACCTTTTTTCTCAGCGACACGTAAGGGTAACCAGAGATTGGGGCTGGAGGTGTTAGTCAGGTGGAGAGATAAAACAGGACATAAAACAGGAACATGTAGAGCTTCCTGTTGAAAATGGGGCTGATTTATGTTGTGCCACCCTACCTTCCAGTAGAGTAATCTGAGCCAGCAGAGAAGAAACTTCCCTGCCGGTTTGGTGAATGCTCTTGAGGTGAGGGGATTTCCTTCTCCCGGGAGGAATAAGCATTGTGGTATTCTGCCAGTGCTCACACAGAAGTTTGGGTCTTATTCTACAGACAGATGCAGTAAAATAAGGGTGTTCCACTATCCCTGGAGATTGACAATCCGACCTTCTACCTGCTGCACTTGTACTTTTTTGGTGTAAAAAATTGGCCTCATTGAATTTTTGCTGTTAGTTTTTTTCTGTGCCCAGCTAATCAAAAACAAAAACAAAACCCACACACTTTGATGACACCTTGCTTTCAAAGGTCTTATTTAAGTTCTTAGATGCTTTGTTTATTCTTAGATGCTAGCTCATTCATTTTTTTCAGTGAATTGTTGATGAGCTCTGAAGTGAGTCTTTGAAGCATGGGCAAGATTTGTGGCTTCTGGGTCTTTTAAACATGGATGATTTGCATAAGGGACAGAACAACACAGTGATTTGGTTGATTTGGTTTGTAATCATGAGGGTACAAAAAACCATCAGGGCAGATCTTTTAACGGTAGGTAATGTTCCCCAGTCAACAACCATTTTCTCCTTTTATTCTGGCCTGGAGAGAGTAAGATAACCCCATCTGCAAACAGAACAGCGTGTTTTCTTAAAGGCATAGAGAGATGACACCAAAATGACATGGAGGGATGTCAGGGGCTTCTTTAGCTGGCCCGTAGTAAGTAGTAGTGTGTTGGTGGGTGTGCCACAAAGTCAGGTGAAGCCATTTCTCTTCGCCTCTGGAAGTCTGGGATGAGAAACTTCAACCTGTAGATTTCCAATTTGTTGCTTGTCATGTTGCACTAAGTTCTCCCTCTAATTAGGATTGTAGTATGCCTAAGTTTAAATTGCAGGAAGCAGGCAATTACATAATGTTAGATTTCCCTTTTTCCAATTCAGGAGAGGCAGGAGAATGTATGCTTGTTGGGAATGCCAGCTTGGGGAGGGAGAATTGCTGGTTCACAAAAACTTGGGGGTCACTCAAAGGCAACTTGAGCAGAACTGACAGCCAGTGCTGCTGCCATTGGATTCCTTTTTCCCTCTTTCCTCCCACAGAGCAGGTCTGGGTTAAATGAATTTCACAGATATGAAAGTTAATTGTGGTTATTTCTCTTCTCTTTCTACTTTTTCCATAAAACCTTTTACCAAAGCTATGAACAGGTATAGTCATTGATGGTTTTGTGGTTCAGCGACTTGCTTCCCTTTTTTTTTTTTTTTTTTTGAAGATGGAGTCTTGCTCTGTCACTTAGGCTGGAGTGCAGTGGCGCTACCTCGACTCACTACCACCTCTGCCTCCTGGGTTCAAGTGATGCTCCTGCCTCAGCCTCCCGAGTAGCTGAAATTACAGGCACACGCCGCCACACCCGCTTAATTTTTATATTTTTAGTAGAGACAGGGTTTCGCCATGTTGGCCAGGCTAGTCTCAAACTCCTGACCTCAGGTGATCTGCCTGCCTCAGCCTCCCAAAGTGCTGGGATTACAGGCGGGAGCCACTGTGCCCAGCCGACTTGCTTCTTTTTATAATGAGTTCTGAACTGCTCAAAAGAAAGCTATTGAGAAAGAAAAGCAAAGGGCTGTGTGCCTAACGACCTTGTTCCTATAATCGAGACTTGACTATGGTCAGTGTCTTTTACTTTGGCCTCAATGTTATCGTTCTGTAATTCATTTTCTTCATATTGTAAATTATTTATCTAGATAGGAAATCTAATTTGCTTTTTTTTTTTTTTTTTTTTTTTTTTGAGATGGAGCCTGTCTCTGTTGCCCAG